GCAGCAAGGCCAGGGAGAAGGGGGAGGAGAAGGGGCTTCCATGTGCTCACGGTTCCTTAAGAGCCCATGCTGCATCATCCTGATCACACCTGTCGCCAGCCAGGAGTGGCTTACTGTCCCCTACATGCTGATTTTCATTTTTCCATCTATTATGTTTAAACACTTGGATGTGGAGCTTAAGAAATAGTTGTAACTGGGACTAGGGGAATGGTAGTTTAGTGGTGGAGTGTTTGGATGGCATGTGTGAGGCTCTAGGTTCAAACCCAAGTAGCAGTAATAGCATTGTTACTGGCTGAGTGAAAGCCAGCAGGGGTGGGTTAGCTCTGGGGAACTGAAATTCTAATAGCATTTCTAATAGCACAAGGGGAGTGTTAGCTTGGCATTTTGCTCCCATGCCACACCATGTCCACTCTTGCTTCAGCTTCTCTGTAGAGTTCCATCTATTTGAAGTGCTGCACCATATTTGGTACAGCTGGGTGGTATAGCTGCCTTAAAACTCTGCTTAGGTGTCCAAAATACTGAGTAATGTTTTCTTATCACTTTAATCATTCATTCCCTCTGCAGTTCCATACTTCCCTCACCTTGCCTTGCCTTATAGAAACACTTGGTACCTCCAGCAGAGGCAGTGTCTTACTTGTCTCAGTACCTCCATCCTTTTGTCTGAGATCTGGTCCCGGATTCCCACTCCCAAGCTATCAGGCTACCTCTAATGTTGGTGAACTTATGGTTAGTACTGGCTTTCCAATCAGTACTTTCTCTTTATATATAGTGGGGGATGGGGATGGGAACTTGGACCACCCATCCTGGTTAGTTGTTTGAGAATTTTGAAAATGTTGTCCTTTGTTTCCTTTACTGTAACAGTTCACTCAGTTGCTACAGTGTTGTCATTTGTTTCCTTTACTATAACGGTTTAGTTAGTCACTATACAATGTTGTTCTCTTTACTGTAACAGTTCAGTCAGTCGCTACACAATGTTGTCATTTGTTTTCTTTACTGTAACCATCCAGTTACAGGCTACACAGCAGTGGATTGGTCAAAGGTGACTGACATGTACCCATAGGATTATAAGATCCCTCTTGCCATGTGCTGTTGTGTTTGTCCTGACACTGTGGTCACTCTCATGTCCTAGTGTAACACATTGCTCATGGTTGTAGTGGTATTGGTATAAACAAATCTGTCCAGATACATTTAGCTACAGAAATACTGTGTCTTACAGTTGCCCATAATATTCAGCATGGTTACATCATGCAGATGGTGGCCAAGGAACAATAGGTATACCTACATCTGCCATCCGGCCTGTGGAAGTATGCTGTCCTGCATATTATCATGTGAATCCAGAAGCAGGCTAAACTGATGCTGAGGTGCTTAGAACATACCTGTCAGATACATGGCTTGAGTTTTGTGGGTAAATAAGTTAATGCATGTATATATATTTTTTGAGACAGGGTTTCTCTGTGTAACAGTCCTAGCTGTCCTGAAACTTGTTTTGTAGACCAGGCTGGCCTTGAGAGGCAGAGGCAGGCAGATCTCTGTGAGTTCCAGTGCTGGGATTAAAGGTGTGTGCCACCACCACTGGGCAATGCATGCATAATTTGTAGAATCAAACCTGGCCTGTGAGAAGTGCTTGGCAATGTTAGCTTTGTCTGTAGCTGACCCAGGATTTTAACAGTTCTGCTTCAGTCAGATACACTGAGTTGGGAGTTCAAGATCCATCTCTCACTGGATGGATATCACTGATGGGCAATCTGTCATTCTCCATTTGCAAAGTGGGATTCAATGGCATTGTGTGTTGAGGGAGGAGCCACAAAAGCCAGTATGGAAAGCTCTCATAACCCTCAGGGAACGTGGCTGATGTGGCTGGTCTGTTTTTCTTTACACAACAGAGGAGGAAGGGCAGGAGCCAGACCCAAAGCAGTTAAGAAACAAACAAATCCCCATTACCTGTCTACCCAGCACTCTGACCCTTGTTGCTGGCTTGTGCCACTCTTATTTCCCATGACTTAGCTTCCACCTTTGGACAAGAAATCATGGCTGCCTCTCAAGGTTCAGCTTTTTGGGTTGCTTTGCTTTTAGACATCAGGAACTGAATGTTACCTTAGGAAGATTTTAATAAAAACATAGGAAGACATGCTTTCTTCCATTTTACTTAATTGAACCGATGCCATCCAGTAATCTGATGGCACTTACAGCATACAGTGCAGGGTCCTTAGGGCCAAAGAAACTGCTAATACCTGGGGCTCAAGGAGATGAAAAAGGGTTCACTTCTCAGTGTCTGGCAAAGAGCCAGCAAGTGGTGACAGATTGGTTAGTGATGCCTGAGGCCTTGCTCTAGTGATGTCCTTTCCTGTTTTTTTTTTTTTTTTTTTTTTTTTTTTGTGTCTGAGGCTCCCTTCCATTTTCAATGAGGAGTCTGGTGGCCATGTGTTCTACCTCATCTGACAATCCCTGTCTCTGTCTACCTTTAGATCACAGGTTGTGCTCTGTACTGAGCTGGTTAAGACAGGGTGGGGGCTTGTAGTTGAAGTCCACAGACTTCAGTGAGCTCCTTGACGATGACCAGAGCTGTTCATGTTCATGTGTATGTTATAGGGAGCATGGATGACTATTATGTTCAGACCATGGAGATAGTCCAATGCCTCCAAAGGCACTGATGTCATGCTAGTTCAGTGCTTCTCAACCTTCCGAATGCTGCAACCCTTCAATACAGTTCATGATGTGATAACCTCCAATCATAAAGTTATTTTCATTGCAACTTCATAACTGTTACTTTGCTACTGTTAAGTCATTGCTCGACACCCAAAGGGGTCATGACCCACTAGCTGAGACCAACTATGCTAGTTATGTGGAGTTTAGTAAGCCCACTTTTGGTGGCTCTCAGAATGACTCAGGAGGTGTGTGGATACATGTTCCCCCTGTGAATAGTTAATGCAGTTTCTGTTAGAAAGAAACACCAGCATATCAGATCAACATTTCAGGGATTTTTGTTCTTTGGAGAAGGATATCTTGCTTCTGAAGAAAGGTGACTTAGATTCATGTTAAATGAACAGGACTACAAAGGAAGACTGGTGTTCAGCTTGCTATAAATATGATTTGTATACACCCCACCTGGCATAGTCAGAGGAGGGGAGTTTCCGGGAGCTGACAAAAAGCTAAGAATGGCAAACATCTGTGACCCGATGCTCCCCATCCATTTATGCTCTTTAGGAGCTGGAGGAATTTCTCATCAAGGAAAGTCTCACGGAGCTTTCTTTCCCAGAGAGTTTCTCCATGGGCCATGAAAGATGACCAAGGTGCAGCTTGTGTTGCAGAAACCTCGAGAAACACTGGGAAAGCCACATCTTCATCCTAATGTGCCTGCTGTGTGGAGATGCAAAGGCTTGTGTTTTCAAGCTCCTACAAAATGGTTATGATTTAAATAGTTATTTCTTGCTGCAAAACTGTTTGCAAGCACACACAGCTTGGAAATCGAGACAACATGGTGCTTTTATTATTTTTCCTCTTCCGAAGCAAACTAAAAAGTTAGGAGTTTTAACAAATCCAGGAACTGAAGGAAAATTTCCTTTTAGTGAACATTTCCCATCTCAAGTTATTTCCTCTCTACCAGACAGAAACTGGGGAGATGAGTTAAAACAGAGCAACAGGTAGAAGCCATGGTACCACTTTTTGGACACACCCAAGCACCTTCTCCGCTTCCTTTCTGAGAGGATAAATGCTTTATTTTCGAACTTCCCTTTTGGAAATGGTGAGGTGGTGAGTCATCTCTAGAGAAGGATGAACCAGCTGTCATGATTAATGATGAAAAGGAATTCTGGCTGGTCAGAACTGATATGTCATGACTGTTATTTTTTGGAGGAAGCTAAGTGTTGCTGTAAGGAAATGCGACTTGAACACAAAACTGAGGCAGGGATGATGGTTTGTGTCCTGGGTCGTATGTGCTCCCCTCACCCTGCCCCCTGTATCTCATTGTGGCTTGCAAGGAAGCATCTCTTAAATCTACTTTCCCAGTTTGGTGAGTTTGAAGTGAGCTCAGATGTGTGCTTAGGCTGACAAATCAGCATCATTATGGCCTTTGTTTTAGACACAGTGAAGACTGATGGATGGCTCTTTCTGGAAAAGAGGAGGGGTTGCTCAGGAGGGAAAAACCCAGAAGAACAGGCCAGCCTTTCTTGGGGGGCTGCTGATGTTCTGCCCACTGCTTTGTTGAGACCTCCTGATACTAAGCAACTGGGACACAGCCTTTATAAGTCAATGGGCAAATCCTCTGGCAGAGGTTGAAGGGAAAGAGCCAAGGACCACGTAGGCGGGGATTAGATGGAGCCATTTAAAAGGAAACAAAAATAAAAGCAAGAGTAACAAGCAGTGGGACAGATCTGGTCCCAGCTGGCCTTGCCAAGCAAACTCTGGGAAGCCGCATGGAGAAAGGATTCTCTTTAAGGTTCCCTAATGTGTTTGTGGTGCTTTGGCCATTACATTCCCAGGCTGTTTCTATGGCACTTACCAAAAGAAAGAACAGTGTCATGATGTCCCCTCCCTTCCCATTCGGCACCTCTTTCTCAGCCTCATGAAATAAGTCTCTGCCTTCAATGGAACTGTTTAAAAGGAAATGGATGGGAAAGCAGACGAGATATACTGGCTAGGCTGAATTTTCACAAAGAGAAACTCTCTAAGAGTAAACAGTGTTTATTTTTTGTTGATTTTTTTCAAACAAATGGAATTGCTTAATTAAAAAAAAACCTTATGTCTTTTCTCCTTAAATACTACAGACAATCTCATTTTATCGCAGCAGACACCTAGAAACAAAACAATTGAACTCCTTTTTAAATTCTATTCCAATTGTTTTATGCATAGGGAAATGAAACTCAATGCATCAAATGAAGACCCAAAGAAACATTTAAAAACTCATTTGACTAGTATTCAGTATGTGAGACTAAGTAATAGCTTGTCCTCCTAGTTAACCTTGTCCTGGAATATATATAAGTTC